GCAGTGACCATCTTGCTATTTGGGGACATGGAATTTACTACCCACAGCTGCAGAGAAGCATCACCACACCAAGTAAAGCAGCTCAGGAGCTGATGGCAAAAGTCCTGCTTGGAGTAAGCCAACACGGTGCCATTGGTACAACATTAATTTGCACTGACTGTCAGGCTGTCCTATGCATAGGACTGTACGTGTACCAGTTGGAAACCCAAACCTTTCTGTTGGATTTCCTGTCTCTTCTCATTACAAATGTTCCAACTTAGCTACAACAACATTCATATTACTTTAGTGAGGCGTTTTGTTTACACTGTGCCCAGTTTTCAGCACTTGGCCCCAGATGTGTTTGTTCCCATTTCACGAAGCCAGCAACTGAGGAATGCACAAGCCAGGACTGTAACTTCCCGTCTCTTTGGCATGTGTTTAAAAGTCACACTACGCAGATTTAATGCTGGTGGATGGTAAAGAGTTTAAATTCTCAAGTGCCAGCTCATCACATCAGGTTAACACAACTCCCACTGTGTTGCTGAATTTACATGAGTCCTTTATTACGGGTGTGGGGAGAGACGGTTGAGGAGAGTTTGATAAAAAAAATGGTTTATTTACCAAGACAGCAAATAAGGAAATACACTTTTTAAACTGTAAACTGTCTACTTTGAAAAGTTTGGCATTGTGCCTTGTGTGCTGTCTGCCCTGTCTGAAAATTACATAACTATGAGTGTAAACTATGTATGTGTGGATGTGTTTGTATGTATTTGTGGTTTTATTGCAGGCAGCTCAGAAAGACGCCTGGAAGAACTGAACACCAGTGGAATCTGCCTGGGTGGAAATAATGTTCATGCACTATCTTGCTAAGGAGTTAGTAACCCACAAAAGTGCCAGGAGCTCATTAATGTGGTATTCTCAGACTTCGCTTTGTCAAGATGGGGAGAAGGACATGTATTTCTGTAAATGTGCTCCCTTCCCAAATTAATGGCTCATGGGACATGATCAGCCTTGCAACATTTTGGCTCACCATTTCTTGGGAAGCACTAGAGACTTTCAACTGTTTTTCACACTGGAAGCTTAAAGGGATGAAAAGAACCAACAACAATATCTTCTAGAGAGGAGGTGGTTAGGAGAGGTGGTTAAAATGGCAGAGCTCTTCTGGTCTCCACTGGGAACATTGCTTAGCCAGCGGACAAAATATAGGGCTTTGACTGAAGAAAGCTGCCAGTCAAGTCTGGGTTCATCTCTTGCATGTACCAAAGACAAATGTACCAATGGATGCTCTGACTTATGCTATAGCACTTACAGTATTTGTAAACAATTAAATATAATGTATGTATATCCTGATCCTTCATTAATCAGGAAAACCCAACATTAGAAGAAGCATCAGGAGCCCAGTTCTGTTTTCCAACATATACGCACCATAACCCCCATTAATTTGAGATGGAGTCACATGGGTGTATCCTGAGGGAGTGATTACATCCTGCATCAGCTACAAGTGACCGAAAAAGGGAAAATAATCGGCCCAATACTGGTCATTTGGACAATGTGTATTTGATGTGTCGGAGTCATTCCAACCTTCCAGTTACCAGATGTCCGTAAAAATTCATAGCAGGCTATTAAATTTAGCAGATCCCGTCTTAATTAGATTAGCTTCTGCTCAGCATGACAGCAGAGTATTTCACTGATGGAGGATTTATAAAGATTTCTGGTGGGAATTCTTTATGGAAGATGTAGTCTTTTATCCAGTGGGATTTACAAATGGAGAGGGGGGAGGGAGGAGAGGAAGCCCTGATAAGGACACACAAACATTGTCATGGCATGTTAAAACATAAATGGGAGCTTTTATTTTATGGATGTTCTCTTTTTATTTCTCTTTCAGAATATGGATAGGTGGTGTGAGTGTTTTTTGTGTCCTTGCATTATCAGGCCCAGCTAACATAATGGCATATGGGTGGTGGAAAACTACAAGCAAATTCTTGTTGTCAAATTCCCTCCTAAAACTAGCACCAGAGGAGTACTCAATGTTCAGTTGCCTGTCAGGTCATGAGTTATTTTTTCACCTACAGGAAACAGAATTGTACAGTTTGTCTTGGGCTGATTTTATGTGTTGCAGCCCAGCGTCTATCCATCCATTGCCCTTATTTCTTTAAGGTCACCACACACACACAGAAACAAACAAACAAGAAAAAAAAAAAAACAACACAAAACAAAACGCTAAACCTGTTTTCTTATTAATTGTGCCTCAATGCCAAGGATTCTCTGTTTTTTCCTGCACAGATTTTTATGGAGGATACATACTGTTAATGGTGACATTGGTGTCAGTAACAGAACGTGAACAGCAGCAATGTCTGTGCTCTATTCCCAGTGTGTAGATAACTTCATAAAGGAAAAAAAAAAAAAAAGGTGGGTGGAGGGGAGGGGAGATCTGGATAATTTTTCTTGTCATTTGATTCACCATTGAAAAGGTCACTCCCTGTAAGAAGAGACAGTCTTCCCTCTGAGATGTCTGGAGGAGGAGCAGAAATGGCAGAGCCAAGATGGGGGGGACTCCTTGCCACTGTGTGGCTTTTGTGAGGTGGCAAAGCAGCCCTTCTGAGCACAAGGGCACGCAACGCCCAGAGAATGCATGCTGGCGGCTGATAAAAACAGAAAGGGACCATCCTTTGCTCACGCCGCGGGCTGATAGCATTCACATCATACACCGTTTGTTACTAGGCAACTGATTAAATATACGTGCCGGTCCTTCAAGCAGTGCTTGCAATTAATTAACCAAACCATTTTCATTTTGACTGTCTTCCGCCCTCCCCGCTCCACCACCAGCCACCTTCCCAAATGCTGACATCTGACACGAGTGCAAGTGATTTGAAGCTCCTCCTGACCTGCAATGTAATAAAATAAAGAACAGAACCTTTGTATAGTAGATGTGATCTACATCCAGGCAGTGGACACCTCTGTGCATCCCTGGTGGGTCTAGCTAGCAGCTGGCATACAACAGACATTTTGCTTTGCTTTGCCAGGGCCAATGTAAACCAAACTGCAAAAAAACTGCAGGGTAAAGTCCAGAAGTTCTCCTGGCAAATCTATTTGAAGTGCAGTTGTATCAAAAGATGGAGGATGGGTCTCCTTTCCTGCTTTTAAAACGGGGATTCTTTACTCCTGAAGCAGTTATTCTCAATCTAAAACTGCTATGGAGCACTTTTGTGTGAGTACATATATAGATACATACATGTATGTCCTGTGAGAAATATAAATATTTATGTACCTACTAATATATATGCACACAGTGTTAATGGCCAGGAACACTAACTCTAAGTGCACACTTCTCTGTGCTAGCTATTACACTGAGTCCCAACACCAGACGGTCGCTGCCCTGCTCAGCTCACAGTCTCAATAGCAGTGGCAGGCAAAGTGGAAGAAGGGGTCTGGACAGCAAAGGTTGTTCAAAGTCACGCGGGGGTCAGTAGCAGGGCTGGGAATAGAAAATGGCTTTTGTCTTGAGATCGGATTCTAGAATAAAAAAAGCAGTGAGTCATCTCACCCCAAATCCTCCCTCTAATTTTGTAATACAGTTGTCATATTAAAGTTGTATGAAATAGACTGGAATTACACATGGAAAATGGGTAACTACAAGGATTCTGGAAGATCTGACTGTTCCTATTACACTTGATCAAATGCAACTGTCAGCTGCTTTGGCAGAGATCACCTTTGATGATTAAAAGGAGAGGACTACATTACAAGAGGGTTTGAGCACGAAACCACTCGCTGCAATCCACAATTAAATAGGAGAGGCTATTGTTCTCTTTCTGACCGGGAACAGAGTTACAAATTTATTGGAGTTCACAGGCTTGCTGCAGAGCTTGTCTTTAACAAAATTGTACCCCCATTTTATATCAGAGCTTCCTACCCTGCTCAAAACCTCGAGTGCATTAAAGAAGCAATTTAGGGTTTATTTGAAGGCGGAAAAATAGAATGTCGAGTTGTGTTTCTTTTTTTCCTCCTTCCCGCTGGCTTTCTGCTGGGGAGGGAGGGATTTGAATCAGCAGATTCTCAATGGTATTGCGGCCTATTGGAGCTGGGTATAGAATCACTAGAAATGTAGAAGAAGCAAATAATGAAGCACAGATTGACTGACAATTCAAAAAAAAATTTTAAAGCACTGGCCAGCAGCTGATTTGGTGTGAACTGTCTGTGGAGCCATGCCGCTCCGCACTGCCTGACTGCCATGCCTTTGATTCAGAACCAGAATGGCTTCTCTGAAAAAAGCAGTCTTTGGGTTTGCAACTCTTTTCTATGAGCTGAGGCCATTTTTCACCGCTAATGGGACTAGGTTATCTTGGCCTGCTCTGGTGTGATTTTACTTTGCCATTTTTTTGGACTGCACTCTGGTGTGAATAAAGAAGGCTTCATGCTTTTACAAACCTTGAGTGAGCTGGGCAAAGCTGCACTGTGGCAAAAGCAACCCCCAAGATGCCCTCCTGCCTGCCACAAGGTCTGTGGTCATGACAACCACCCTGAGGATGGAGGAACAGGCACAGGTTGCCCTTTATGAGGTGTCAGACAAGGTCCCCCTTCTCAGAACGTGGCTGGCTGCTGTCAGTAGTCCCATTAGAGCCATGCACTACTCTTTAACTTTCACTGTTGCTTTGCTGACCTTTGAATGAGAAAAACATTAGTAAAGAGCAATTTTATGCCCTCATAAAGAGTTATGTGTTACCAGGCAGTAATGGAAGCACAAACCAACTTGGCCAAAAGATCTCAGCCTCCCGTCACTGCTTTCTTTAATGGTGCTGCTTCATCGTTAATCTACCTGGTGCTTGTCAATGGCTGGAAATCCCACCCAGCAGATGTGAAGGTTGTTCACAATGCTGGTGCAGACACTGCTCCTCAGCCCTGTTAATCCACGGGGTGGAGGGAGAAAATCGGAGAACACCTGTGTATCTTGCAGGTTTCTGCATGCTGTTCCTTTCCTCTTATTCCTGTAGTGATTTATATTAAATTGACTTGTAATTATACACTGTTGTTTTTTTTTTTTTTTTCTTTTTCTTTTTTTTTTTTTTCTTTCTTGCTATTCTAGTTATTCTTGGTTGTTCCATGCCCGTATATGGCCTGTCACTAGCCTGGCTTTTTCATCCACCACAATGAGACAATAAATCCAGTGAGGCTGGACAGGAAACACAGCTTGCCAAGGAGAGGCAAGATGAATATCTCCTTGAGACAGTCGGAGGTTTCATTGCGTATTGTCCATATAGTCTATTTCAAGGAGTGCCCAGGGCAAGCCTGGAAAAACTTTTGTGTTTGCAACAGTATTTTTCTCTGGAAAAGCAGATATTTTTTTTAAAAAACCCACCATGTATCTTTTGCACCTTTTATGTGAGTAGAATGCTGTACACACAAAACATGGCTCATTTCAAAATATCAGCCAGGGCCTGTGTTTTAGCAGCAGAAGATAATCACACAGAAATGCCTTGCTTCGAAAACCTATGTTTGCTGTCACTGCTCTCCTCAGCTGACCCAGTGTGGATATGTGCTTTTTCCTCAAGTGGGAGGCAACTTCTACATTCTTACTGATCCAAACAACTTCATTAAAAATACTGAGCAAGTGTTATTAGTACTTTCTTGGCCTTCTAAGCATGTCTAGGCTCATTCATGTTTATGCTTCACTGCAGACACTGGTGAACTTGCTGATCACACATTCCATCCTGCTGCTTGTTCCTGTAAAAACAGCAGAGATCCCAAGACATTTGTATATGGTATCAAAACATTGACCAACTCAGTAAAAGGGCAGTAGATGGCACATCAAGGACACTGTGACCACTCTGCATGTTCCATATGAAAGTATACATTCTGGATCTTTTTTCAAGAGATCATTTCTGCAAGTATTCCTCGGTACTTGTAGTCCAGGAAGGTCACTTCAGGCCTTGGAAAAATGTTACCTTGTAGTAAGAACCTTACAGAGTTCAGACACAACATGATCTTATTCTGCTTGCAGTAACAATGAATGGCATCCTGGCACACAGATGGAAAATATCCATGCTTGAGAAAGAACTTGTTTCAAACAGAAAAGAGAGGTTATCTTAATTGTTGCTAGTGTAAGTGCAGGGAAAATACTCAGAAGCAGAATCCTTTGTGCCCTATTATAACTGGTTACATTAATCACTATGTCTTTCAAATTAACTGACATACTGACATATGGGCTAGTTCGTGAACAAATGGATCCTTGGTCATTAGTACACGGGCAAATAACATCACCAGACATACACAGCCCTGTGAGCACAGCATCACCGAACTGTGCTCTCTCACTTGCACACATACGCAGTCAAGCTCCTTAAGGGTTTGCCAATGCAATGTAGTGTTGAATTATACAGGCTAACTCTACAAGCAAGCTTTGCAAGAATTAGCTTGGGGACTGGAATTAGTCTAAAAGCAGCAGCAGGATACATTAGCTCGCATGGCTGAGTTAGCCTGTCTGGCCACTGCTATGATTAGATGGCTTCTGATACCCCAGCAAAGACAGAAGAGATATCCTGGGTCTTTCAACATGATACGGCAGACCGTGGCTCTCTCATCTCCCAGCCCCCCTGCCCCCAGCACAGTGCACTTTGCAGGCATAGGCTATACATACTTGCATTCAAGATCTGTGTTCTTAATGGAATAAACTGGCCTAGCTTCACAGAGGCATAGCTGCATTGATTTACATTGACAGACTCCTGGCTGAGATGTTTCGGTCTGTCATTAGTACTTACCATGCTCTACCCATCTGGGGGGCTGGTCATACTCTTATTCCTTTTAATGATAACTCTGCTGCAGTCATCTTTTTTTTTTTTTTGCTTGTTGCTGTTAAGGCCAGCAGGCACTATTATGGTCTTCTAGCCTGGTCTTGCAATGATTTTAGCTTTAAGGGATAATTTTGAATAAGAGTGCAGAAGAAGCAGCAGCTTCCTTACCCTGGCAGCCGTCAAGGCTCAGTCCCTCACTCTGCTTCCCCCATGTTTCAACCTGCAGAGTGCTATGCTAATTTTGCTCGCAGCTTCAAGTCATCTGAATTTCCGGCTGGCTTCAACTTAAGCTGTTTTTATTTCAAATAAGGTAAATTACCAGCTTCAGTCCAGGGCTCAGTTTCCAAGCTTCCGTTCTGCCGGTTTTCAAGCTTCACTTCCAGCAGCTCTGCATAATCCCAGAGGAACGCATGTCCTCCACTCCTCCTGTGCCAGGGACACGCCGCTCTGCCTGGCTGCTCTCAGGGCCTGGAATCCTCCTCTTCCTCCTTCCTGCTCTCTTTGGGCTTTTTGTCTGAAATAAACACGAGTTATTTTTTACCTTTATTGAGAGTGCTTCTGCTAAGAGCTGCTTGCTAGTTCCTAGTCCCCCCCCTCCCCTTCTTTCCAGACTTTACAGAACCTTTCACTACAGAAGTGGAACTTGTACCCATGATTGTCATTTCCTTGAGTGATATCCCAAAGGGTCTGAGAGCTCCTTAGTCGGCCAGTGGTGTCCAACCTTTCCTAAGACTTAGGTGGCTTGTGGAAAATTCAGTAGTAACAAAACTACAATGGTGTGGAGGCTTCTGAGTACTCCTAAGACTGTGGGAGAAAGCAAAACCAACAGCATCTGTGGATGCCAGCCTCAGTGGTTTGCCTTGGGACCCAACTGCATACCTTGCCAGACTTCTTTAGCAATGGGGAGAGGACCAGGGGAAGGCCAACAGCTCTCAGAGCTCCAGCCACTATAGTGCACTGCAGTATGCTGTCAGTGTGTGTCTCTGCAACCAGTCACTGCACTGAGAGGTCATCCACCTCTGGCATTGTGCCAAAAAAAAAAAAAAAAGAAAAAAAAAAAGAAGAGAAGATAAACCGCCTGTCTGAAGGGTTCACATTCAAATTCATAATCCAGACAACAGGTGAAGGAAAGGAGAAGAAAATAAAGTACAGACATATGGGATGACATGCTAGAGGCCACATAGCAAATCAAAGCTGGGACATTAGTGTCCCGTGCTACATTAAGTGCCACAGCCCTGTGGAGCAAGTTAGTGTATGCTTCAGCTTCAAAAACTTCAGCAAGCCAAACATAAACCAAGAAATACTTACCTCCAAGAAAACTGCATGAGGCATCATATTATAGCATAAAGGAATAGCATTTCTTTGCTTGTCTCGTAGAAAGCTGACATTTTCCGTGCTGTGCATTGGCATTTCCTGTGATATTGCCACAGGCACAGCACTCAGATGGATTGCTCAGGAGCACATTAAATACAGCTTCATAGATATGACTTTGGACAAGAATCTCTTCTTTGCATGTGGAATGGATAGGCAAAGCATCATCGGATACAGAGGTCATGAGAATCAGCAAAACATTATTGAGGTGCTCTGCCAGAACATCCAGTCGATGTAGGTAATTTAACACTCATTTCTCTATTATTTCCTCAGAAGTTAGCATTTTTGTGTTGTTTTACTTCCAATTTATGTGGCTTACATTTGGCTCGTTTCTTCTTTCATATGTTGTTTAGGAACAGAGAACAACTGCTACTGTGGTGGGTTGATATCCTCCAGTATGCAATAATCCACACAGCCACTCACTCACCCCTACCCTACAGTGAGATGAGGTACAGAATAGGAAGAGTGAAGGTGAGAGAACCCATTTAACAGCTACATAAAATAAAATTAATTAAAAACAACAACAACAAAACAACTTAAGTAATCACTCACCATCTCTCACAAGCAGACCAGTGCCCATCCAGTCTCTGATGGCACTGGCCACCTTTGAAGCCCCAAACCTCCTTCTTCCTCCTCTACCCCACTTTTTATTGCTAAGCATGACATTATATGGCAGGCAATATCCCTTCGGACAATTCAGGACAGCTGTCCTATCTGTCCCTCCTCCCAGTCTCTTGTTGACCTCCAAACAAGTTGACCTCCTAGCAAGGACTGGGAACAGGGTGGGAAAAAGGAAAAGATTTGATGCTGTGCAAGCACTGTTCAGCAATAGCCAAAACAATGGTGTGTTATCAAAACTTCTTAAGCCACAAACCCAAAACACAACACCGTACAAGGTTGTATGGAGAAAGTTAACTCCATCCCAGCCAGACTAGTACAGGTACCTCATTTGAGGTACCTTTCTTCAGAGAAGGTTATACGTGTCTCTGAATCAGCAGACTGATAGACTAGATGATATTGTGAACACGGAAGGAGGATGGTCCATTGGATGTGTGTACATTTCTTTGTTTTCACTACAGTGGCTTCTTGATACCTAGCTTTCAGACAGATGAAATGAACCGAGATGAAATTCATTCTTTAGTGATCAATCCTGAGTCTTTCTCCTGTTCTCTCTGTACTGGGTATTATGTTATACCTATCAGTGCGGATGTTATCTGTCCCCATACAAGTCTGATGTAGCTTATCATTTTATGTTTTAATACAGTGACCAAAAAAACCTTTTGAAATCTTCCTTTTTTATAAATCTTCTCAGCACTGAGTCCCACAGATCAGTAACATATATTTTGTCCTAGTAATGTATATATTTACTCAGTAAGCCTTGGTTTTGGATGCCTCCTGTCTGTGGATCCTACCTTCTTAGACGCAGAGCACAGTATCTCTGCCTACTGTTAAAAATGACTGAAAGACTGAGCAAAACCTCTAACTTGTGATAACTGTCAGCCCCAAATAAATATTGATTTTAAGTGTCAATTTTTAGTAAAGATAGATGTCAAAGCCCAGAAAACCCAATTACAGTGCAATAAAATACATTTCATAACTCTAACTTAAATGTGTGCCAATGCTTTTATAGCATAACGTGGAAAGACAGAGTATCCACCTGGCCTTCTTGGTACAATATATCTAGAGAGATATTTATTAAATTTATCTGATATATATTGTATCAATATAGCCAACTATATTGTATTTCTGCCATAGTTTACTTCATTCTTCACTTTTCTGGCTGCTTTTAATGAACTTTTAGTGTTGCTTTTTTCAGCTCAGCTCAGAAAATGCTGTTTCTACATGTGTGTGAACGTGTGTATTTCTGCCTTTGCTGTGGCCAGTAACCTTTGAACTAGTTGGCCATTTCTAACCTGTTTGGAAGCAAAAATGTCTCAAATAGACTATCTTCCCCAAAATTTAATCAAACCAGGCAGCTGTTCGTGGCCTGCTGACAGGAAATGCTGTGGTATGAGCTCATCTCTTTTAGATAACAGTGAACAGCAAGAGAGCTGTGCTGACTACCCTCATCTCCGAAAAAAACTTCTGCTGGAGGCTGTGCCTTTTGAGCCTCACATGTACCCAAGCATGAGAGGCAGAGCCAGAGGACACCCAGCCTCACTGAGTCCCTCACCATCCCATTTCCCCACTTCTCCTTTGTGACAGGGAGGGCTGCAACTGAATGTAATGACCAAAGCAAAAATATATTGTGCTGTCTGCTAAAATGATACCACAGGGTTATAGTATTTTCTTTACTGTTTTTTAAACTCTTTTTTTCATAAAGACTGATGCCTGCCTTCTTTCCCAACCACCACTGCACAGTCAGCAGCCAGTTTCCTTGAGCTGTCTATACTGATGTGTTTTGAGATGTTTAAAAGTAATTCAAAACCTACCCAACTGCATGCGCAGTTTCTAGTGTTCTCCACATAACATTCTTCTCTTGCCTGGGTTTAATTTCATCCGATATCTCACTTTTCTTCATTTTATCACTCTCTGCAGTTTCTCATACTTCATTTGACCCACCTACCTCATTTTGTGTGACACAAACTTTGCCACCTTTGCTCTTCACCATGGTCTTCAAATCATTAATAAATATCCCAGGCACACATCTTATTTTTAATCCCTGGTGCACCCTACCCCTAGCCCCCTTCCATGCTGAGATGGACCATTTGTTCCTACTCTTTGTTTCTGCTCTCTCAACCATGGGCTTTTTTCTCCCCCTATCCATGCAGGACTTTACCTCTCACCTTGTGGTTACTAAGTTTCCTTTATAGCCTCTTCTCAGGAACTTTATCAAAAGCCTTTTGAAAGTCTAAATAAAATATAGCCATTGGTTGTCCTTTATCTTCTGTTTTGTTAACTCTTTCAAAGGCCTCTAACATGTCGGAGACACACAGTTTCTTCTAAGACAGAAATCATGCTGGTTTGTCCCTATCATATCACCCTCATCTATAGCTCCTGCTTTATAGTAAACTTTAATGATTTCCCTGTACTAGGAGTGTGTTGCTTAAGAAGAGAAAGTAGAGGGAGATACTCGTCTGTGGAGACTTTCCCTAACAGCCTTCTAGCTGGTTGGTTTATGTAGCCTTTAAGCCCTGAGGTAAGGAAACAGGAAAACAGATTAATAGACATAGCAATCTCCCCCAAGATACTTATAGATAAACACAGCCTTGGGCATTTAGAAAGTCGGATTTACTACACCTTAAAAGAGGTTTGTGAAAACCACGGCTGTTTTATTTTAAAGTATGCAGCCAAAGGCATGCACTTCTTTAATCTTTGCCACTCTTCCCCGATAGACAACCAAAAGCCCAAGTCCCAGGGTTTAGAAACAGTTGTGTATAAACTGGAAACAATCTCAGCAAGCCTTTATAACAATGAAGATCTCTTTGGGGGCACTGAAATGGATTTGAACCGAAGCCAAAACACATTTCCAGTGCACAGGCTGTACAGAAACAGGCACAAATGCACAATTGATATTGGTAGGGTAATACAATTGCCAATATTTTCCTGGAAAAATGAGAATGCAGACAGTGATGTTTGAAGGTAGGTGTGTTTTATGCTCAGTATAGCACTGAGGAGCAAATCCAGGCCTCCACATTTGGCTAAATATCCCAGGTCTGATATCCCAGCTGTGACCCCTATTGCCTGCCAAGTGGCATTGCCAATGTCCTCCCTTCAGTTCCCTGGCTGTCTGCATCACAAGGTGCCAGCACCTCCTCCATGTTGTTGGTGGGTATCTCACATGGGCCCAACTTGGGCAACTCAATGGTAAGTATTTACTTTTGAGTGCCATTGGAATTTTTCATTCATGCCAGCTTAGCCAAAATTTTTTATTTTTTATTTTTGTAAAGGAGGGTGTTGCCATTCAGGTTTCATCTCTTTCTTTACCTCTCCTCAGAGGCAAGATTGCATTATTGTTGATTTGCTTCTGAAATGAGAAGGAAGGACTCATATTCCCAGCCTTTTTTTTTTTTTTTTTTTTTTTTTTTTTTTTTTTCCTGAGAGATCCTATTCAGTCCCTCCTCTCACTTCCCAGAAAACTGGTAAGCACTGTAATCAGAACCCTGACTCCTCAAAAGGCTCCTTATTCTTTGAGTTTGTGGTCTAGGTTGTTTTTTACATGGTGCGACAATGTAATGGGCTTACTTTATTACTTGGAGAAAAGATGCAGGACTAATCTCAGCTCTCTTTGTTGTTGTGTTGGTGTATTTTTTTTAAAATTATTTTTATTTTTTAATATTTCAATATCCTCCAGAGTGTTCTCAATTCTGCAAGGAACTGCAAGTCCCTCTGGAGAGGTTGAGGGCTTCTGGACAACCACAAACCCTGCACTGTTTATAGTCAGAATTGCTGAAATGGGTATATCATCCTTGGACTATCGCGTTTTGCTTGTATTTATAGGACTCCCTTTTTGAGAGATGATTCCTGCCACAGATGCACCCACCTGCACACACAAAGAGACTCACACATACAGAAACAAGTTGCTGATGCTGTGTGTTAGGAGCTGGGGCTAGCACTCTATTTTGTCTTTCCTTCCAGTGTGTCTACATAAGCTTCTCTGGGCACTCCTCATCCCCAGAATCCTGATTTGTCCTTTTTTTTTTTTTTTTTTTTTTTTTCCTCTGCCTGAAGCACAGTTTGCTCATGCTTAGGTGATTTACTAAAGACTGCATAACTGCTTGGAAATATGCAAGGCTGTTTTGGCAGTACTGGTGTAGATATTTCAGTGCCCTGCCTCAGATTGATAGGGTTTCTCAGGGAAGGGAAGGCAGCTCTGGAAAATGTTTGAGTTCAAAAGGAAGAAGAATCTCTTTAATCACTCAGGCTCTCAGGAAACCCAAGACCCAGTGGGACAGTCTCCTCATAGTAAAGACTGTCCCAGAAAATCAGTGGCATTTGAAAGCAAGATCACAGCCAAGGAAGCCTTTGCAATGCTGGAGAGGGCCCCAGCGAATGTGAATGAAATGGCTACTGCCTCTGCTGCAGCCAAAAACTGGCAGGATGCTTGGGGTTCAGTATTTCAGGAAGAACTTCATATTCATATTTAGCAACACCTCCTTTTTTGTTTGAAATATCTGGGAGGGTTTGGATCAGATAATTAGTATTTTAAAAACAGTGTAACTCAAGGATCCATTTCAGGTCTCCTCAGATAATATTTAGGGACTGATCTTCTCTTTCTTTCTTTCTTTCTTTCTTTCTTTCTTTCTTTCTTTCTTTCTTTCTTTCTTTCTTTCTTTCTTTCTTTCTTTCTTTCTTTCTTTCTTTCTTTCTTTCTTTCTTTCTTTCTTTCTTTCTTTCTTTCTTTCTTTCTTTCTTTTTCTTTCTTTCTTTCCTCTTTCTATTTCTTTCTCTCTTTCTTTCTATCTATCTCTCTTTCTCTTCTCTTTCCTCTTTCCTCTCTCTTCCTTTTTTCCTCTTCTCTCTTTTTTTTTTCTTCTCTCTCCCTTCTTTCCCCTTTCCTCTTTGTTCTTTCTTCTCTTTCTTTCCCTCTTCTTTCTCTCTTTCTTTCCTCTCTTTCTGTCCTTCTGTTTCTCAATATATGTATCCTGACTGACTCCTATGAGATTAATTCAAACAGAGCAACTGCTGGATTAGACCTTAATCCCTTTTCCATCCATTTAAATCATCCTGAATGGTGAGGGATTGCGGTGTGTTCCAGTGCTGGCCTAAAACTCATTTTATTCTGGCATCTTTTTGTTGTTTTGCATCTGTTTTCTGTCATTTTTTTTTTTCCTTTGGCAAATTCTCTGGCTTCAGTTGTATTTGTAACTTGCAATCTTACCAATATGGTCTGGCAGTGATATCTGTCTTGAGGGGATCACTTTTCCCCCCTCTCGCTCTGT